GTTTCTTCGGCTGTGATCGTCGTGCGGCATGGTGCGAAATGCGCCATTTTCGTTAAGCGATCGACGACGACAATTACCGAGTCGTTGTCACTTGCGCCCGCCGGCAGTCCTGTGACGAAATCAATTGTCACCTATTGCCACGGTCGTTCGGGTGGCTCGAGGGGTTGCAGCAATCCAGCTGGGCGTTGGCGTGATGACTTCATTGCTTGGCAGGTCGGGCAGGCGGACACGTAGTGCTGCACGTCGGACGCCATGTCGGGCCAGTAATAATTCCGTTGCAGCAGCTTCAACGTTTTGTCGACGCCGAAATGCCCGGAGAGGTTGGAGTCGTGTACTTCCTGCGTCAGCAATTCTCGTAAGGGTCGGTAGGAAGGTACCCAAACTCGGTTAGTACCGACTTTTAGGTAGTAGCTCCCATGCGCCGTGGTGACCCCGTGGTGTTGATTGGTCCGAAAAAACTGGTCAATCCTGTAGCCATGCTTGAATAATCCTGTCAATAAAGGGTTAGAATGGGCGATTAGTACTGCTGCGGTCTGCATTGATGGTCGGGTCAGGGCGTCGGCGATGTTGTTGGCGCCCTTTTTGTACGTGATGGTGTAGCTGAAATTGGACTCGAGGTAATCGAGCCACCGGATTTGTCGCGGATTGAGTTGTGGTTGGCTGCGCATGTATTGTAATGACTTGTGGTCGGTTCGGACGGTGACGTCAGCTCCCGTGAGGTAACAGCGCCAGGTACGAAATGCATGCACGATGGCGAGCATTTCCTTGTCGTGGACCGGATAGTTGCGCTCAGGCGGCTGCATTTTTCTTGATTCGTACGCGATGGGTTGCAGCCCGTTGCCGAAGTCCTGTAGTAGCACAGCGCCCACGGCGAAATCGCTGGCGTCCGTCACGACTTCGAACGGTCGAGATGGATCTGCCAGCCGAAGCACCGGGGGTGAACTCAAAAAAATTTTCAGCTCGTTGAAAGCCAGCTGTTCTCTCTCCCCCCAACAGAATTGCACGCCCTTATGCAGAAGATCGGTTAACGGCCTGGTCACCCCCGCCATATTCGGTACAAAACGGCGGACGTAGTTAACGAAGCCGAGGAAACTCTGCAACTTCGTGATGTTCGTGGGCGGCTTCCACTCCGAAATCGCCGTCACTTTGCGAGGGTCAATTTTAATGCCCTCCCCTGAAATCACGTGCCCCAGGAACTCCAGCTCCGACTGTAAGAACTCACACTTAGAGCCCTTAGTAATCAGTCGGTTTTGCTGCAAGCGCCGGAACACTTCCTCTAAGTCCTGTAAATGCTGCTCCCGAGTCTTGCTGTACACCAGGATGTCGTCCAGATAAACGATAACTTTTTTGTCCAGCATGTCCCGAAACACCCCATTCATGGTGAGCTGGAAAGTCGAGGGCGCGTTCGTCAACCCGAACGGCATCACAGTGTACTCGTAACTGCCGTAGCGGGTGCGAAACGCAGTCTTCGGGCAGTCGTCGGCGAACACGCGAATTTGGTGGTAGCCACCTCGCAAATCGATTTTCGAGAAGAAGCGAGCCCCGCGAAGCTGATCCAGCAGGTCGTCCGCTCGTGGGATCGGGTAACGTGACTTGATCGTGACCCGGTTCAACGCTCGATAGTCGATGCACATGCGCAGGCCTCCGTCCTTTTTCGGTGTGAACAGTATCGGGGCGGCGTATGGTGACGTGCTCGGCCGGATAAAACCCTTCGAAAGCAGATAATCCAGCTGTTTCCGCAACTCGTCGAGCTCCGGTTGGCTGAGCCGCCACTGTGACCAAACAGTTGGTTTTGCGCCTGGCTCCAGCTCGATCCTGTGGTCCTCCGGACGCTGAGGTGGCAGCTCGTCAGGCAGGTCATCCGCGAAGATTTCGGGATACCTCCGAATTATGCTCGCCACGTCGTTGGGTACAGCAGCGCAGAGCGTGTCGATGTCGGCGATTTTTTCGGAAGCCACCACCTCGTACAGCTGTACGGCGTAGCCTTGCGCTCCCCGTTTTATCGCCCTCTTCATCGTTATTGCGTTGACACGTGTTGTCATCGGCTCCGGCTCCGCCCATTTCGGAAGTGTCACGCGCCCCTTGTTGCACAGCACCGTGATCGCCCCCGTCGTCCAGTCGATCGTCGGATTGAAACGCTGTAGCCAATCTCGTCCCAGCAGCACATCGCAACCGTCCAGTGTTGTCGCCAGCATTCGCATTGAAAACCCGAAATCGTCGCCACACTTCATCCGAATTTGTCGGACCTCGTCTTTTATCGCCAGCGGTGTCTCGTCCACTAGTCGCGCGTTAATCTCGGGCAGACACCTGTCCAGTTTGACCCCTATTTTTTTGGCCGTTGCCAGGTTGACGAGACTGTGGCTCGCCCCACCGTCAACGAATAATTTTATTTTATAGCCGTTAACCCTCCCCACGACCAGCACAGGGTGATCCACGTGTTCATCCACCTTATTCGTCCGGTTGCGGTCGATAGCCCGTATCGGTACCACCACTCGGTGTGGATGTTGATTGCCGGGCGACGGGGTCTCGTCAGTAGGTGGCCCGACTGCTACTGACTCGTCTCTTTTCCCGACCCCTCTCCGTCGTTCCTGTTTCCCTGTTTCAGCTTCGGGCAGTCCTTCCTCCAGTGGTTGCAGTTGAAGCACGTGTTAGGTCCACGTCTCGGTGCATCCACCCCGTTGATTGTGGGCTGGCGCGGCGGTCCACGAAATTGAGTGCCCTCCCGGGAACTCATTCTCGCCCATTGCATCAGCGCATCCGTTGATTCAGCCACCTGGACGGCATCGAGAAAACCGCGTGGCCTCGCCCGTCGCACCTCGTACTGTACTTCGTACTTGAGGCCTGCGACATATCGGTCGAGTCGTTCCGCGTCGCTCATATCGTCCACTTGGTCAGCCAAATTGCAGAATGTTGCCGTGTAATCTTGGACCGACGCCACCTGCTTCCAGGTGCGCAGCTTCATGCGAGCAGAATCCGAGGCGGATACATGCTCGAATCTGGTTCGCAGCGCGGCGCCCCACTCCGTCCATGTGCGTATCGTGGCCACTCCGAAGATTGAAGTTGCCTGTTGCGTGACAGTTGTCCAGGTCCCGTCGTTCGCACGTGACATCCCTGCCGGAGTCCCCCCTGTCTGAAGAGTCCGCTTCCACCACTCCAACGCCGGCCCTCGTAACAGTGACACTGCAAAATTAATGCGGGTAGCATCGTCAGCAATTTGCGCAGCATTGAAAAACACCTCCACTCCGAACAACCATGCCGACACAGTGACGGTTTTGTCGCTGGGGTTGAACGGGGGTGGGTTCGTCGGTTTTATTTTAACAGTTGTTGAGACTGTTGCTGCTGCATGCATCGGGGGCGCCACTGAAGCCATCACCGGGGTTGTCGCTGTTGCCTGACGTGGTGTAGTCTGCGACTGTTGCCTCGGCGCCGCTCGTGTCTGTTGCTGCGGCTGTGACTGTTGCCCCTGCGTCCCTTGTGCTTGTTGCATCCGTGCCGTCCACTCATCTTCAGCGTCCAGCGAGTCCTGTAGCTCGCTAAGGACCTCGTCGTTAGGCGCGAAGCTGCTACTTGCTTCATCCACGGCGGCCGACTCCTGACGCGCTTCACCTCGCGTCTAGCGTAGCTCGGCGTTTTCCACCCTCAGGCGCTCCAACTCGCCAGACATAGTCTGCATGTTGGATTGCATCGCCCGAAAGTCCTGCAAAAACACGTCAAACTCTGCTTGTGTCATGTTTCGGAGACTCATCCTAGCGGGCAGCGGGTTAACAGCGATTTTTATGGTTTTGATGAAGGCGCAAACGCTATTAGTCGGAGCGAGATAATCGTATCTATCTCTCAGCCGACCGCTTTGCAGCCCACCAAACCTATCGCGCCCTTGCACTAAAACTACCCCGGAAAGTGGAGGGTAACCTAGGAAAGTAGCTCTGATACCAAGTGTTATGAGTTGTATGAAAGAAGAGTGCGCAGAATGCAATATCGCGGAAGTGATTACAACTACTGAGCAAACAACGAGGCCTAGGTATAATATAGCACAGCTAGCTAGGCCGAGGTCGCGGAGTCGCGCGAAGGTTGGGTGCAGGTTTGGGGTTGGGAAACCCGAGGGCGACGCGGGAGACGTTCGGAAGGCGAGGTCGTCGGACCGAGCCTGAATTCCGAAAGTTGGAATTGTACGCGTAAGAGATGCCTCAGTAAGGAATTAGCGAAATTCCTTACACCTACTGTTGGGGGGGTTACACCTAGGGACCCCCTTAGTGTACATATCAAATGTCTGGTGTAACAGGCCATCTCCTCGTCATCCCACGAGTAAATTGGTTTTGACCCTGGTTTTTGTGACTCGAACCTGCCGCACGCGCCCTCATCCTCCAACAACATGCGATCGCGTTTCATCCAGTCCCATCTGTTTGACTTCGCACCGCATTCCCCGCTCCCTTAGCGACCTCGTTCTTGGCCACAGTACCGCGTTCCACGACCCTCCTCGCCTCGCAGCGCCGTGGTAGCGTCGAGCTCGCACTTCAAGTAGCCAGCCCACAGCAGCCATGGAGCCTCGTGAAGTGCCGCTTCTGTGCCATAACCCCCTGTTGTGCCATTTCGCCGTCGCTCTCTCTGCGAGACTATCTCGCCGCGCCTCATTCTGCCCAACCATCATCGGCGAATCTGCTCCCATATCTCGGCAACCACTGCCATCCACCATCGCTACCGTCACCTGCGCTGCGCCTCTCTGCTGCGCCTTCTCCGCTGCGCCGATCGGTTTTCCGCTCCGCTCGCCACGATGGGCGGCTTTCCGGCGCTGCTCGCGCTGCTCGCGCTCGCCCTCCTTCTCGGTCAGTCCAACATCCGCCCCACTTCCCCCCCCCCCCCCCCCGCGAGTGCTTTCTGTATGCGCATGCCGGCGTGCTTTCCTCCGTCACTTGCCTCTTGTGCCCCCTGGCACCGCATGTCGCCTTTTCTCTCGCGTGCACTGGCAGTGAATCCGCAGCCTGCCGCGCTCCGCGCCACTCGAGATGCTTGAGAGCGCCATTCGCATCCTCCGCACACCACCGGATCCCACCGGAGGAAACGCGGAATGCGGGCGGACCAGAGCAGACCACACCAATCAACTCTCCGTTTGGCTCTGTTCCCCTCTCGTCCCTGCAGTGAGTGACGTCATCCGCGGGGCGTCCGCCCAAGGGGGCCGTTTGGAGGTGCCGGCGACGCTGGCGGTGGCGACGCGGATCACGCTGGGCAGCTTCGCCTTCAACTTCACGGCGGCGCGCTGCACCAACCTGCCGCGCTTCACCCCCAACGCCACCGTGCAGTGGACATCCAAAGCCACGCCCACCCTCCCCGCGTGCAAGAACCTCACCTTCTGGAGCGGCGCGTCTTGCTCCGGCACCTCCTCGTACTTCCTCACGAGGCCCCCAAGGTCAGCGGGGCGCCTCTGCCATGGCGGGGTGGGGTGGGGCGGGGTACGGTGCGGTCGAATTTGATTCGCTCGACTAACTTTGTTGCCTGCGAACCAAAACGGGACACGGTTTAAGCTGTGACCTCGCACAATGAGACACCGATGTGACCTCTATTGTGGCATCTCTCCTCTCGCGTGCACCCCGTGCCTTCCCCCAACAGCCTGACCAGCAACACCTCCCAAGCCACTCTCCCCTATCCGACGGCAGTGTCGGCTCGCTGCGCTATCGGTACGCACCTTGCCACCCTCCCTCTAGTCAGTATTCCCCTGACACTGCACAGCATTGCCCTGTTCTGTTCTGTGAGCTAATCCCATGTGCGTGCTGCTCTGCGTGCAGACAACATGTGCCAGTACACCAAGTGCCCTGCGGGCTCCACCTGCAAGACAACCACGGACACCAGAGGCGTCACCTGCGCGTGCAATCAGGACCTTTACGCCTACCAGGGCACTTGCCAACGTAAGCCACTTCCAGGGCGCCTCAACACCAGCCCCTCCCCTTGCACGGGCTTGCAGCCATCGCGTGCCACTCCGCCTGCCCCATTGCATGCCCCACGAGCGCCTCACTCTCTTCCTCTCACCGGATTGACTCTCTCCTCTTGCTGCGCTGCCCCCATGCCCTCCCCGCCCGCCCTGCATTCATCACTGGCGCCACCAGCCATGGAGATCGCGGTGCAATCGCCGGACTACGACACGCTGATTGACGTCATGGGGGTGCCCACGGAGGTGGACGCCACGCTGCCCGTCGCCACGCAGCTGGCAGTGGGCGCCTACAGCGTCCCCTTCGACCCCTCCTCGCGCTGCACGGGCGTGCCTGAGGGCACAGCGCCCGCTGGCGTGAGCACGCCTGTGAGCGTGCAGTGGGGCACTACCAGCGCGCAGGGGGGCGGGGCGAGTGCGCCGTGCTCGTCGCTGTGGTTCTTCAGCGGCAGCAGCTGCAACAGTGGCACGTCATTCAGCAGCCTCAGCAAGACCGCCTCCAGGTCAGTGCGTGCGGAGTGACGGTGCTGCGCTGCGCTGTGTGATGGGGTCACAAGGCAGGAAAGGAAACCTGTTGGGATGGAATTGGAGATCCAGGTGGACGGAATGGGATGTGTTGCGATGAGATGCGATGGAATGCCGTGATGCTGGTTACAGCTGTGCTGTGCTGCCAGGACTTACAGCTGTGGTTAGAGGACCGTGATTTACAGCTGTGCTGTGTCTTGCCCTCGTGTTTTGCGTTGCTTTCCCCGAGCAGCCAGACGGCCACGATCACACCGACCACTCCACTCGCCTCTATTGATTGCCCAATCAGTACGTCCCTTGCTGCCTTTCGTCCCTTGCTGCCTTTCGCCCCTTGCTGCCTTTCACCCTGCAACCTTTTTTCCCGAGTCAGTGAGAGATTTGCGAGTCTAACTTTGAGTGTGCTGCGCTGCCCGTGTGTGCAGCCTGGCCGTGCAAGTACGCCTCATGCTCCAACAACTCTGTCTGTCTGGACGCAAGCGGCAGCAAGCGAGCCACCTGCAAGTGCGACGAGGGTTATATTGCCGTCAACGGCACCTGCCGAGGTACAGTGCGGTGCTTACAACAGCCTCCTGAGGTGAAACGCTGTGCTTCCCTAAATACATACACGTCCGTGCTCTCTCTCCTCACTCCTGACGCATGCTTGGTACAACGACCCATGGGGGCAATGTCTCGTTCGCAAGCACGAGCATTGTTCTGGAATGGGAAGCATGCATGGTTCACATCACAGCATGTTTACTTGGGATAATCCACAGCTGTGCTTTTCTTGGGGTATCATTGCCAGCCTTTGAACCTGTCAGTACATTCGTCTCATTGTTTTTCTGCTCTTCTGCATCACCTCCCTCCTGCTGCAGACAAGTGCAGTCTGCTGTGCCCGGCCAACGCATATTGCGTCAGGGACGCGGTCGGGGAGCCACAATGCTACTGCAACAAGGGATTCGATATGAACCCTGCGGACAGTACCTGTGTTGGTGAGTATGCCGTGTCCCACTGGTGTGAAAGAAGGGGAGTGGAGATTGCACTTCTAAGCATGATTTCGCAGATTTTCCCTGCCACGCACTCAGCATGCTGCGCTCGTTGCATTACTATCTGATTCCGTTTGGTGCTTTTGGTCCATGGCTGTCAAAACTCGTCGACGTTCAATGTATCTGTACCCCTCTTGGTCTGCATCGTCATCCCCTTTCATGTGTGAATCCGTGTCATGGCAGACAAGTGTGCATCAGTAAAGTGTGCGCTCAACAAGACGTGCACCAAGGATGCGGACGGGACTCCAATCTGTACCTGCAGCACCGGCTTTAAGCTGGCGCCCGACAGCACCACTTGCATTGGTGAGTTGGGGGAGCGCAACACCACTGGCTGTGCCGGTGTCTCTAAGCCACACCACTCGAGGCTGTGCAACACCACTAGCTGTGCCCGAGATGTGGGGCTTGAGCAAGGAGGTACACGGTTGTGGATTGTACCGACATGCAGGATTTCCACAGCCACTGCCCTGGTTTGATGTGTTCTTCTTGCCACCTGCAGCACTGGTTGATAGCACTTCCAACCAATGTTATGGACGCCTTGAGTTCTGAGGTGAATGTTTTTTCCTCTTAAATCTATGCCGTAACTTACCTCCACATATCTTTTCCCAACCCACGTGCACTGCAGACAAGTGCGAGTCGGTGACGTGCAAGGCCACCTTCAGTTGTGTCAGGGATACAGATGGGAATACAAGATGCGATTGCGCCAAGGGCTTTGACAGGCTTCCGGGCAACGACACTTGCGTTGGTGAGTTGCCTTGGCTGGTTTGCTTCTCTATATCAGCTGTTCAAAGCAACTAGCAACGCAAATAGCATGATCTGCTGTCATGCACCCGCCCATGAACGGGGAGCAATGTCATTGTGATCAACTGGTGTGAGTGAACCTCTGGGAGGGAGTGAGAATCACTCACTTCAATTATTCCATGAGTGGATTGGTCAAGACGATGCTCTTGTCGCCACATGTCACACCTCATCATCGATCCCTTCATGTGTGTATCCCTTTCCATTGCAGACAAGTGTGCATCGGTGAAGTGTGCACTCAACAAGACGTGCACGACGGATGCGGATGGAAATCCGGCCTGTACCTGCAGCACCGGCTTCACGCTCGCGGCCGACAATGCCACTTGCATTGGTGGGTTGGACGAGTGACTTTGGTGCTGGCAAGTCACTTGGGCGCACCCTTCAAACACTTTGTGCTTCTGGTGAATGCGTTCTTGTTATGCGTTCCCCTCCTGGATCCATCCCAATCACACCATGCTTGCTTGTTTCCATGGTCCCCGTCCCCCCACTTCTGTTGCAGATAAATGCTCTTTGGTGGATTGTGGGCCCAACGGCAAGTGCATCAAGGATGCAGATGGAAATGTCACCTGTGCTTGCAATGCTGGCTTCCAGATGCCTCCTAACAACCTCACTTGCGTTGGTGAGTCACATGCACTGGCACCTGGAGCGAGCGAGTGATTGATTGATGGGCCTGGGGTGCATGCATGCATCTGCTATGCAACCTGCATGAGCGAGTAAACTGATAGCTTCTAGCCCATGCTATGCGCCTCATTTCTCACGTGAAATCAGTTACCAATTTCTCCTTCTAACACCTCCATTCCATTCTTTACCCCCACCTCAACTCCATTCCTCTTCTTCTACTAACCCATTCGCATTGCAGACAAGTGTGAGTTGGTGACTTGCGCTGCCAACTCAGCTTGCGTTAAGGATACAGATGGGAATACACGATGCGATTGCATCAAGGGCTATGAAAGGCTTTCGGGCAATGACAATTGCGTTGGTGAGTTCCCTTGGTTGAGTCGTCCAGAGTGGCGTTCTAACGTACCATGTCAAGCTGGCCTGCACCCAAGAAACTGGGGACAGTGAAAACCTGTGTAGATCAAGGACTGAGCTCGTATCACTGATGGCTTGGATGATTGAAAGGTCCGACCTGCTTTTGGCTTCTGAATCGCAAGCATGATGCTCACGTTGCACACCTGATTCCATGGCTTTGTCAAACCTCATCATTCCCTTCTATGTGTGTATCTCTTTATTGCAGACAAGTGCGCCAAATGGGATTGTGGTTCCAACGCCAAGTGCACGACAGTTGAGGACGGAAATCCGAAATGTATTTGCAACACCGGCTTCTCGATGTACAACGATTATGGTTTTCTTTACTGTAGAGGTGAGCTCAATGTATGAGTTGCTCCACGCCACAGTCAATCAGTCGTGCACACTGGAGACCAGACAATCAGTCACAGGAGTGGTGGCGGTGCGTCGTCGCCATCTCATGCTGGCATGCACTTACGAATAGGGGGCTGTGACATTGTCGCTTACTAGTTACTGGTAAAAACAAGTTTTGGAAGTAAACGTCGCACCATGGTGCTTTGCACATTCCTTCCTGGCATTTTGTTTTTATATATGTCAATGTGCTGCTCATGTTGCATCACTACTTGAATCCACTTATTTTATACCCCATGGTTGTCAAACCTTGTTGCCAATACCTTTTCTCTGTATCCCCTCCAATCTGTACTCTTCATCATCTGTCACATCATCATTTCCTCCTGCCTGTATTCTATTCAATGCAGACAACTGTGCTTCAATAAATTGTTGGCCCGGCACATGCACCAAGGATGACAATGGAAATCCGTCTTGTGTATGCAATGTTCCCGGCTACTGGCAGTCTGCTGACAAGCTCTCTTGCAAGAGTGAGTTGCACGAGTGCAATAGCTTGTGTGTTGCTTTCTCAATCGGCCCTTGGGAGTTGCTCGGGTTTGAGCCATGAGTTTTTTTTGTGTATTCCTCTTACCGCTGATTGCTTTCCTTGTTGCATGAGTTTATTAAATGAATACAAAGCCAACACATTGTTGACATATTCTATCGTTTTTTCTGAAATGAAACAAATCTTCCCGTTCCTTTTTTTTCTGCAGGCAGGTGTTCTGGGTATGATTGTGGCTACGGCAGGTGCGCGCTCACGGAAAACGGATATCCATACTGCGTGTGCTCCCAGGCGGGCTACGAGATGGATTCGAATGGAGTGAATTGCGTCCGTGAGTTGACATGGTCTCGCCTTGAGGCTGCGAATTTGTGGAACGCTGCTGTACATATTGGCCACTCCCCAGCTCAACTGCTTTCATGCATGTTCCACTCCACCTGGCTTCTCTCTTCTCTTTGAGCATCATCCCCCCACGTCTTCTCCCTCTTCTCCCCTCTTCCAACCTCCTCCCCCACTTCCCTTTTAATTTCCTTTGTTCCAACCCATCCTTGTGTGCATGGACATCAGGTTCGGAGTGCTACTTTTCGGGCTGTGGACCAGATGGGGACTGTGTGTACAACTATGGAAGATACACATGCAAATGGCGTAAGCATCTACTTCCACAAGCTCTTATCACTTTGTGCAATCTTCTGAACATTCATGTAAACTCGCCCACTTGCTCTGCTCACCCCGCCACCTCCCTTCTCTGCTGTGCTGTTCCCTTGCTGGCCGTGATGCTCAGGCTCACCCTGTGGCAGCTGCCCCTCCGGAGCCACCTGCAGAACCATCCGGTCCACAAGTGGCGTATTGGCTGATGTGCCGTACTGCGTGTGCGATGCTGGCTATGGGATGACCACAACAGGTTGCGTCCAGGGTGAGATCTTATAGCTCTTCTTTTACCCTTCTCTCTTGATCATATGCTCCATCCTCCCACTTGGCGTTTGAGGGCTGGCGAGGTGTAGTGGAAGCTGTGTCCACATGCTGCAAACGATTGGTTCCTTCTTCTTTTAACTTCCTTGCCTATCCCCGTTTCCCCCATGCTCCACATCTCCCCTGCTGCTTGTGCCTCCCATTCTCAGGTTCACCCGACTCTTTGCCTGCCAGCAGCATCACACTCGTGCAGGATCGTACAGCTGTCAACAATCCATCCAAGCCCTACACCTTTCGCACCAATGTGGGCTGCAATCAACTTCCAAAGGAGGTGGCTGGAAATTTCTCGAATTACTACGAAGTGCATAACATCAATGGCGGTCGGGGCTGCAGCATGTTTACATTCTACAGAGGGGATAACTGCTACGACCCTACGGGAATAAGACAAATCACCACGCAACAATTGACTGCATATGCATCTGGGTGAGTGGCCAATTGTAAATTAATCTGCATATTGCATATTGTTCTGCGGCATCGCTACCGTATTTCCAAATGGTTTGATTTGAGTTGGTCGCTATTGCCTTACAATCACCCTGTGCTCAGTTTTTCTTCTACCATCCTTCATTTGTTCCCCCCATCATAATCAATCAGGGACCTTCGAGTGGGCAATTACTTTATTCCACGCTCAATAGGGTGCAGAATGTGATTCTCTTTGCTGACCGCTTCTGACACCTCACTTGTGACAGGCCGTCGTTGGAATGATGTACCATGGCTAGCTAGAACAATGATCACCTGAATGAAATGTTGTTATTGAGAAAGCTTGCTCTCTGTTCTTGCAATGGCAACGTGCTTCATTAGAATTGGGGTAATTACAGCATTCTCGTCCAACTATTAATTGTACATGTATATGACCAGGGTGGGTGGGTGGGGACTGTAACTACAAAGTTCGACTGAAGACGTGGGTGGAGGCCAAATGGCCTCCAACCCTCGTTATATACTCGGCGAATGGTAATTCGCAGTTGCCTTGCTGCGCTACAGTCAGCTGCGCTTTCACAATACGCATTTTTAGAAAGTGTTACACACTTTCAAAAAAAATCATATTGAGAAAGCTTGCTCTCTGTTCTTGCAATGGCAACGTGCTTCATTAGAATTGGGTCATCTGAGACATGTGCGATTGGGGACGTAGGAGACGTGTAGTTGCAGTTGATGGCATCGACAACGTGCTGAGGAGGGTGCCGTTGGTGATTGCGATCGCCGTGTCGATGGGGTTTGGACTGTTGTTCAGGGAGGTTGCTCTTTCCCTTGATATCCTGGTTGTTGGTGCGGCGGTAAAGTATGGTTGGAACTGGTAGTAGTTGGTATTGATCTGTTGAATATGTGACGTAGTGAACAGCAACTGAGTTTATGCTGGATAAGTATTATTGTCATGAGCTGTCATTCATGGTCGCATGTGTTCGCTAGAACACACGAGAGGACAAATTGACATTGCCCACTGGCGCACGACCATCATGATGAGGAATCGCAACCCAAGGAAGGAGCTGGATGGCTTGGGTGTAGTCTGAGGCGCGAGAGTTGCGCGAGGGAGTGCACCTTATGAACGCTAGGCAAATGTCGACCATGTCATTATTTGGAATATGGATTTCGATTCACAGAATGATCAGTCATTGTATAGCAACGCTCTTTCAACATAGCACTCGCTTGTCTCTATTGCCATGGCCCATATCTACAATTATCGATTAGAGCTGGCTCATCCCTTCAGTTCTTTAGGGAGAGTACCGCAGCGCGAGTACGGTATTTAGTCGAGCAAGGCTTTCTGTAACAAGTACCTAATAGTTCCTGGTGTATCAAAATGGTATGGGAATTCGACCATCAACGGGTCGATCTATACAGTAATGAGGACCTTGATTAGGTGATTGCATGAGCAGCTCCAAACTACTATATGGCCACGCCGGGCCAAATAATGTGCTTGCTTGCCGACGACCATGCAAATTATACGCAAATGGGAGAGAGTTTGGGCGATATGCTTCCACGTTCACCGCATGGTGCGTGCGTCCAAGCATACCGTATATACGGGACTATAAACGTTGGACTCCTACTCTTTGCATTTAGCGACACATTTGAAAGCAAGTTGACTCTTCTTTGCAACCAAACTCTTAATAAGCATCTCCATTTTAAGGCCACACCAAGTGTCATACCAGCCTCCCTTTCTTGGGGAACAACCCTCTAGCCAACAGAAATCTCATGCCCCTTTCCCCCTAGGAAACAACCTCTGACAACAGACGTGACCCTCAGTGTAGAATGTGAAACAATGTAGAAGTTGTATTTTGCAATCAAATGTTCCAGATGTGCTATGCACTTCAAACGGTTTGATGTTCCTTGACAATACAACGCGAGTTGTCAAGAATTGTATCGTTTATGGAACTGCATACAATATAGTTAATGTAGTAACACGAGTGTCTGCAATTGAAATAAACACCAACGTGACGTAGCATTTTCTTGACACGAAAATTCAATCCGTAACTCCCAACGGCACATTCATGTTCATACGATGCGCGGACTGTTGATGGGTAGCACGCACGTTTCTTGTCAAGCATGTACGATAGAACAAGTTGGATGTGCAACGCACGATGGCGAAAGCCGGTACCGTATTCCTTCCGCATTGCACTGCAAAAGAAGCAATGACTGAGGTTTAGGTCTAGTGAGATTCACAAGCCTTCCTTAGTTGCACTCTACCAACAAAATCTCCCCCTTCTTTTGTAATCAGATCACTCCAAACAAAATCTCCCCCAATTTTAGGTGGGGCTTCGAACCAACCATTGTGGATTGAAGAGCTTACGGTAAAGATTAGATGGGGCTTAAAGCCTCCTCTCTTCATGTGTGTGTGTGTGTGTTTTTTTTTTTTTTTTTTTTTTTTTTTTTTCATGTTATATCGTATACACATTGCAATGTCCAAGGATGATCCACATCAACGTATACAAAAATTAAAGGTTTTGCACATCTAACATTGGAGTCTGCATGGTAGTGGCCCTCTGGCCAGCATAGGACTTTGGGTAGTATTCCCGCGTGGGGACGGCTCTCAGGCCACACGGGGACCCTCAGTCCCCTGCCCCCCCTGGGGACGCCTCTCAGGTCACACAGGGACCCTCGGTCCCCTGCCCCCCTTTGGGAACGGCTCACAGGCCACACAGGGACCCTCGGTCCCCTTCCCCCCCTGGGGAACGGCTCACAGGCCACACGGGGACCCTCGGTCCCCTTCCCCCCCTGGGGAACGGCTCACAGGCCACACGGGGACCCTCGGTCCCCTTCCCCCCCTGGGGAACGGCTCACAGGCCACACGGGGACCCTCGGTCCCCTTCCCCCCCTGGGGAACGGCTCACAGGCCACACGGGGACCCTCGGTCCCCTTCCCTCCCTGGGGAACGGCTCACAGGCCACACGGGGACCCTCGGTCCCCTTCCCCCCCTGGGGAACGGCTCACAGGCCACACAGGGACCCTCGGTCCCCTTTCCCCCCTGGGGAACGGCTCACAAGTCGCACAGGGACCCTCGATCCCCTTCCCCCCTTGGGGAGCGACTCTCAGGCCACACGGTGACCCTCGGCCCCATCTTTTCGTTTGGAGATGTCCTTCCGTGTGCGTGCAGTAGATCCTGTCGCTGGTGCGATTTTTTCCACCGCGACTAGTAAAGTCCCACTTCTGTGGTGTTGAGACCGTTTTTCTGCCACCGAGGGATTGAAACGGCAAGGGGATTAATAGACAACGAAGAAGATGACATAACGAAGAGAAATAATAATAATAAAAAATAAAACAGAACTTGCAGCACTTATATATGGTGGTTGACTCCCAGGTTGACTCCCAGTCAAACACCTTAGGCGCTGCAGAGGCATTTCGTGTCACTGCCGCGTCATTGGCGATTCCGTGCCGCAGGCGCGCGTGTGGCGATTTCGCCACTGACGCAGTGCCACACGCGAGCGTGTGGCGATTTCGTCTCTGGCGCGCGCCACTGGCGCCAATGGCGATTTCGTCCCTAGCGCGCGCCACTGGCGCCAGTGGCGATTTCGTCCCTAGCGCGCACCACTGGCGCCAGTGGCGATTTCGTCCCTGCCGCGCGCCACTGGCGCCAGTGGCGATTTTGTCCTTGGCGTGCGCCACTGGCGATTTCGTCCTTGGCGCACCAGTTGCTGTCTCCTCCGGCGCACTTCGCTTTCAATTGAACGCACGTCAAGTATAGTCGCATGTCTGAAACTTTTACTCTTCACGGTGAACATGCGGGGAAGTGCGTGCGTAGCAGTTGGGGAAAACGAAGTAGTAAATGTGGCTTGTCTGCGAAGTAGTACTAGAATCAAGATGACAACGGGAAACCGAGTGGTTGGACGAGAATGGACTGTAACTACAAAGTTCGACTGAAGACGTGGGTGGAGGCCAAATGGCATCCAACCCTCGTTATATACTCGGCGAATGGTAATTCGCAGTTGCCTTGCTGCGCTACAGTCAGCTGCGCTTTCACAATACGCATTTTTAGAAAGTGTTACACACTTTCAAAAAAATCATATTGTGTGTGTGTGTGTGTGTGTGTGTGTGTGTGTGTGTGTGTGTGTGTGTGTGTAGACTGGTACTGTAAGAGTTTATTCCTACGGCCTCATGTCAGGCCACCTCGTATCAAGATTGTATTTTCCCCATGTTAACGTTATTAAACACCGCATATCAGAAACGTACCAAACCAGTGCACCAATGAAAATGCTCGCATACCCTCGCAGGAACGTGCTGATTTCCTGGTGCACGGTTCCACCTGACGAGAAGACGTCAGCCGAGTGTACAGTATGCGGCTGACACCCATTGATGCGATCATGCGATGCTGTACGAGGTGGCAGTCGTGCGCGCGAACGTGTAGAGTGTGCAAATATTTCACCAATGGGCGCCACGCGGCACGTATACCACCCACCGCACGTTTAGCGATTCACATGCATTGTCATCCCAACCCATTGCACCCCCTTCTTCAAAGAGTTGTGTATACATGCCGTATTCTCGACACCCTCGTAAGTGTACACCCCTGGGTAGCTTTTGCGGGGTGGGTACTATGGGCGACCTCGTTTCTACTATACCCCCCTTTTTAAGTGATTACACCCCCCCTTTCTTACAGATTCTTTATTATAGCTGTTAACGAGTAGGTGCAAGTATGGGAGGATATCGCAAAAATCCCTCCCTCGATGAAGTTTCGAGGTTCTTTCACTTCAAATCTGCCAAGATTTCCCCCCGCCCACTATTTCGCTTTTGCCACGTGTTGGTGAATCTTCCGCTGCAAGTGGCCAGACAAGTGCCACATGGCATTTTCGAGGGGGTGATGACGTTCGCGTCAAAACTCCTATTCGTGCCTCAACATGTGATGTTAAAATGCCCATGGAAACACTCAACTTGTAAAAAAAAAAAACTCTTACACTGAAATATACCATATATATGCACCTGGGTATTATGTAGCTTTTTCCTAC